AGGGGGGATATTTTCTGCTCTTTCCACATCTTCGTCACCGAGAAGAGCTCGCAGGGAGTGGGGTGGGGGGAGGTTGCGCCAGGCTCCGCTGCGCAACGGGGCTGCCCTGTTTCTGTCCCTCCCAGCCCAGTGGTCTTCTTCACTCTGATTTCATCTGCCTCCAAAGCCCGGTCTGGCTCCTGCTTGTTTATATCTGTCTGGAGGGCTCAGGCAGTAAAAAGCACAATCATTTTCTTGCTTCTCTGCCAGTATCTGCAGCAAGTATGGGGAAAAAAAAAAAAACCAATCCAACCTTAAAGGGACTTTCTGACCTCAGTCAAGCAGCTCGCCCTTCCTCCAGCCCTGGGGCTGCTGCTTTTCTCCAGCCGTTCAAAGGGCTCAGCCTGGCACCAACCCACAGCATCGCACCCACCACAGGGTTCAGAGAGGGGCTGGGCGTGCACATCCCCCCAGCGTGAGATGGGAGCTGGGCTGGTGCGGATGGGGCCGGGGATCCCATTGGGAGCGGGCAGTGGTGGGCGCAGGCCCCATCCCTGCAGGGGATAGGACGATGCTCCAGCACGATGCACACTGGCTGCCCAGCGGGGACCAAGCCCAGAGCTGCCTCCTCATTAGGGGTTCACCATCTGCCCTGGTGTTTCCAAGGCTTTGCTGTGGATGCTCGGCAAAGGCTGGGGAGGGGCTGCGAGGGCCGAGGGGGCCCCAGCCACCCCCCCAGCCCAGAGCAGCACCTGCAGCTGCTCACCGTGCTGGTGCCCCGGGGACCCTCACCTTCCCCCAGCCCACCCCAGCCCGGCATTCCCTCTGTTGCCAAAGTCATCACAACACCCGGGCTCCGTCCCTGCAGTGCCGGCACCACGGGCTCTTTGCAGAGCAGATGCGCTTGATTCCAGCCCACCGAGGAGCCTCCGTGACTGGGTGGAAGCCGCCCTGCTTCCTGGCCCGTGGGGGCAATACTGCTGCTCTGCCCCCCACGCTGACCGGCACAAACAGAACCGGAGCCTCCCTGGGGGCTGCCGTGCCCCAGGGCAACGCAGCCACCTTTGTCTTGCCTTCTCCTCCCTGTCTCCTGCTCCCTGGCAGGTGATGGGGCGAAAGCCAGTAATTGCTCTAAGTGCGATCAATAAGTCACAGTAATAGAATTACATTTGCTGTTGCCATATTAGGAACCGCTTTTCTGCTCTCTCCTCTTGCCACTCTCTCTTGTTTTGTTTTTAAACCACTGCAGAGCACGGGAACAAGTGAGGCTCCTCTGGGCTCCTGAGGTGGCTCCATTGGGGACCCAGCTCTGGGTGCATGTCCCCGTGGGCTGGGGGTCAGCCCCAGGGAAGGAGCCGGATCCTTGGGAAGGTCATGGGCGTTTTACCCCACACCACGCGCAGGCACCCCCCAGCATGGGGATGGGACCCACTGCCCCGGCGCAGAGCAGCAGCGCATTTGCCTGCAGCCCTGGGGAGATAGCGCTGCTCTCCGCTCCTGCGCAAGTCCCTGGGGGCTGGGGGGTTATTTTCATCTCTTTTGCAGCTGGTCTCAGGCTCTGGAGAGTCAGCTTCACCTCAAGGGCTTTCCTCCGGCTGCTTTTAATCATTACTTAAAGGAAAGTCTCTGCAAATAAAGACTGGATCGCAGCCTCAGGCTCTCCGTGGGCAGGGGAGAGCCCCACAGCATCTCATCACCCCACTGCCCTGCGGGGCAGTGTCCTGCCCCACCACCAGATCCCTCCTGTCATGGTTTCAGCTGGGATGGGGCTG